TATGTAAAAGTTTGATCGTTGTGTGAAATGAGTTTCCATCAGGAGGGCAATGTCAATGAGATTGTCATGAAGAAATATGTCTATTTCGTCACGGTGGTTTTGTAGTCCATTAGAGTTCCATAAGAGAATAGCTAGGGGCTTTTTGTTCATCGAGGAAAATTGAATGGGATTTCGGAAAGGAATCTGGTTAGAAGGGTTATGAGTGGTTTGATAGTCTGTTGAAGGTCTATCAGGAATGCAGATAGGATAGAATTGATGTCGGATGATGTTTGGCTTTGAAGGATCTGTGGATTCGGATCAGGAGGAGGTTGTGGTTGGTAATTTGTGCGATTAGGGTTATTGGTAGGGGGTTGGGTCCGTTGTTGGGTACGAGGAGTTGGTTGAAATTTCTGAGGTACATATGATGGTGGGTTCATCTGGAGATTTGGATGGGATTGTACTGGATGCGGATGCTCCGGCGGAAGTTTGACTGTTAGGGGAAGATAATGAGGGGGGATTTGTTGACGTGGAGGTTGATGCTGAGGATTAGTGATTTTAGGTTTGGATTTGAAGGTCTGAGGCGCCTGACGTCTAGGTTGCTGCTTGATGATAGTGGTTTGGGAGTGTTGCTTGGTGGATTCTTGTTGAGGAAGGTCCGTTGATACAGTGGTCGATGACCGTTGTTGGACGATTTGCGGTGTTGACGGCAGTACTGGGAAAATATCCAGATTTTCAATTTCAGGCGGTTCTGTGTTACTTTTCTGAACAAGGTTCTGGCTTCTTACTGCTATATTATGGGATCTTTGCTTGTGGAGATTTTTATAAACCTCACAACCTCTATAGCTCGCAGGGTGGGCTTCACCACAAAGAGCACATATCGCAGGTTCGTGCCTTGGTTTCTGACAAGTGTCTGATGCGTGTGAACCTGCACATTTCACACATCTGGCCTCGTGAAAGCAGTAGGCTTTGGTATGTCCCAGATTTTGACAGTTTGTGCACTGCACTACTATGGGCTTCTGTCTAGGTCCCTCAAAACGGACAGTTGAGTATACTAATCTCGTTACCTGAAATATTTCGGAATTGTTTTTTGCTGGTTCCAGATCCACGAAAAATAGTGGTAACGGATATTTTTCTCTAGGATGTAATACGGGTGAAATATTTCTGACACTGTGGCCTATTTCTTCCAATCCGATTTTAATAGCATTTGTGGTGGTACTTGAATGCAGACCTCTCAAGATTACTCTATACGCTTTTTCCTGTCTGAGTTGATAGCAGTGGAATTGGTATTTTCTTGATGTAAAATGCTCGATGAGTTTTTTATAGTTTTCTTTAGAGTTAGTGTTAATTTTTATATCATTAACTCTTGAATAACATCGAAAATTAGGCTGTCCTATCAGAGTCATCCTATGAGTCAGCAATTTCTTGCCCGAAGGACATAAAATTTTCAATTTTTGATACAAAAATAGGTGGTGGTTCTGGATCCGAAAATGTTTTTGGCTCCTGAGTTTTATTTGATGAAATATTGGTAGTAACAGAATTACTGGTTGAGGTGGATGGTGGAACTGATTCTAATTTGTTGGCTGCAGTGGTTTTACTGCGGGTGTAGTAAAGAGGATTTAATTTTTTTTTTTATGAATATTTTTCTTTATATTAATCTTTTTATTGAGGTATGATTCATTTTACCACACTTAAGGGTTCTGAGTATTAAAGCTATAAGGCACATTCATATTATAATAATACAATATAATTAAAAAGAAGAAGAAAAGAAATACATAAAAATAGCTATGTTTATGAATATTAAAGAAATCACCCGATCACCCTCTAAAGGTTAATACTATGTTTTAAGATTGAACTAAATGATTTATAATTGTATATTTTAAAACAAGGTTATGATAGCAGTGAGTTCAGTAGAACTTGACTTGACTGAGCCTCTTGGATGGTTCACTTTAAAATAACCTTGAATTATGCTCAAATGATAAACTCAATTTGTACTACTGGATTTTCATGATTGACTGTAGGTCATGGTAGAACTTGTTTTGAACTCCAATCGTACAACTGGCCCTTAGAAAATTTTGGACTACAGTTAAAAAATTTAAATCTAAACTGTTATGAGGAAATCCAATTAGTCCTTCCAAATGGAGCGAGTATTTACAGGAATTGAATTCCAACCCTTCTCCAGCATGTAGTAATAATAACTTTTTTAACGTTTGTCATCTGTGCTGAAAGAACTATAACTGTACATTTTCAAGAGTAAATGTGGTAAGCCTCTAGGAATTGATGGAACCCCATAGAGGCTTGTAAGTGTCTTACACCTGAATCCAGTCACTACTTACTGAACCTTATGAACCAAGTCTTAAGAAATGAGAAGATTCCAGGTGGGTGAATTAAGGGAACTTTAAGTTAGTCGTTTAAGAGAGGTGATCGGTTTTATCACTCTAACTATCATGGCATTTCTCTCTTCAACACTTGCACCAAGCTCTTTACTTCCATTCTCCAGGAGAGATGTAATACCAAGAGAACAGTCAGGTTTCATAAAAGGGAGACCATATTGTTATAATGTATTTGCAATATATTGTATTATCATGTTCTACATTAAAGTGAAAGAACAAGACTTGTACATTGTGTTCATTGATTGCATAAAGGTTTAAAAATCGTCAATCATAACTTCTATGGAAAAAATTGGGCTATAGTGGAAAACTTATAAGAATTTTGAAAAACTTTTAGAGTCAAGCTGAATTTAACCCAAAAGTAAACATGAGGGTCATTCTATTTCATAATATCATCCAAACAGGAGTGCTCATAGAGGGAGGGGTACTCACCTAGTGTTTTTATCCTGTTTCTGTCAGATGTTATTCAGAGTTTACATAACGTCGGCCTCAATGGGGTGAATGTTGATAATGGTAATGTGTTATTGATGGTGGTGAAACATCCTGGTTACATCTGGGTGACACAATGCCTTATGCAGCTCGAATAATCTACTTCATGATGTAACAGCAAATTCTTGTGAGGATGTCTGCCTTTTGGTCTTTTTTTTCCTGGACGGTAAACAATTTCAAACTGGAAAAGGGCTAGTCCTAAACACCATCTCAAGATTTTGTCATTTTTATAGGAAACAACTTGTTAAAAATATAGAAAAGAGCCCCTTGATTTGTTACAAGTTTGAAATGTTTCCCCATAAGATACAAGTTCTATTTCTTCAGAGCTTCCACTATGGCTGCTGCCTCCTTCTCTATACCATATTGAGATCAACCAGTTTGTGATAAAGCTGCAATAGCTAAGTCAGAGGCATCGCTTCCAACTACTGGAGGAGGCATTTAATTTATAGAAGTGGCTAGTGAATTAGCTACATCTTTTTTTAACATATTGAAATCTTAAGCAGCTTGAGGACCTAGAGAAAAAATGAGAGACCCAGTCAAGTTGCTTATTTTCTTTGAAAAACAGGGAACCCATTAGGAGTAATTGATGAAAAGTCCGAGTGCACGTTTCAAAGAAGAAGATGGGTAGAGGAAGCGTTTTCGGGATGTATTATGTTTTGCGGTATAACATACCCAAGAAGACTTAAATCGGTAACTGACCCTTTATTTTTCTCTAAATTTATTTGAAGGCTATATTTCTCTACTGCTGGCATAAAAGAATGAAGATTATAATCGTATTTAGTCTTATTGATACCACAGACAGTGATATCATCCAGATAGGGGAAGATTCGATTTAGATTTTCATCTGGAATGATCCTAACTCGCTGAAAACATACTAACACCATGAAAACATTTGTAACACCAAACAGGATTTTTGTGAACTGAAACAATCTTCCTTGAGCTTTGAAGGCAATGTAAATTTTCTCTTTATCGGCAATGAGGATCTGATAGTAAGCATTCCTAAGATCTATTGTACTAAAAATGGAATCCTTAGCCATATTTCTTACCAAATCATCAATGTTAGGAAGCAGGAAGGTATCTAATAATGTAAATTTGTTTATAGTTGGGTTATAATCAATTACAAGCCTCTTTATATGTTTTCAAATTTGAATAACTAAAACCTGAACTCGCCAAGGAGAATTGCTTTCCTCAATAATCCCATCAGTTAGTAGTTGTTCTAATTCATGTTTAATAAAGTCTTGGTCAGTTACAATCTTGTTGGTATATACCTCTGAGAATTTTAATTTAGTTGTTAGTACGGGTTGCTCTAATTTTCAACATAATAATCCAGTCTGCCATTAAATTTGAAAAATGACTGCTTACTTTAGGTTGAATCTCGTAAATATCCAATACTTTGAGAAGTCAACTGTATTCTTGCAATGAAAGAATCCATTACTAACAGATCCTTGCAACCCCTAGCCCTCTTCTTGCGTCTTAACTTTTCTATAGGTACCATGTTCTCAGATTCCAAGAGTTCTTAAATCACGTAATAATAATTATTATTAGAACTTCAGATTCAAAACTTTATTATTAATATTCTTATACCTTGTTTATTCTCCCATTTACTGATTCAAATTATTAATGTTAGTGTTCTACAGTTTTCGTTATAATTATCACAGAATGGAAAACAGGTAATTTTTTATGTTGCCAAATAAGGCACTTTGAGATGGCAAACCTCAAATTTGTGCTTAGCACCCTCAAAAACATGAAAGTGCTTGATTCTCTGTAAGCCTTCCAGGTATGAAACCCTATTGCCTGAGCTACCTCTTAAAATAAGCTTACATATGATCCAGCATCTACTTGCATTATGATTTTTACTCAGTTTACTAACAAATCAGTAACAAACAGCTGCTCTGGACAGCACATCCAACAAATCTGCATTTGATGATTCATTAATCCCTAAAAAAATTTGTGCTAAGCGAAAAAAAGTCTCTTCTGCTTTTATGTCCTCTTCCTCCACATGCCCTCTAACATTAGAAAAAGTAAAGACTTTGCTTTACTAAATCTGTGAAAACATCCTTAGCATTGTGACTATTAATCTAACCCCTACAATAATATTTAATATTTTTTTGGTAGGAGTTAAAATATTATTGCCTCAAGTATTACCTTTTTTAATGAAGTATTCTTTACACAATACCAGTGCCTATATCTAGTCCGCCCTTGAGTTGGTTCTGGACTTCTGCCTTTAGATGTTTTATTACTCATTTAATTTCTTTTGGTCAAGTAGTTTATCTATGAGGCTGTTATCTAGTGAGTTGCTCGTGCCCATTAAGCCAGAAGTACTTTTCTAGTCTCTGCAATTTTCACACCATCTGAAAATGATTTTCTTTTCCAAACCACTCGACTCGTATATAATGATTTTTTATACCACATACAAATTGATCTCTTAATGACACTTAAAGACCAGGAAAATTACAGTGCATAGAAGCTCTTTTTAAAAGGACAACATTGTTTAACAATGCCTCTACCTATAGAAATCTTATAGGCTAACCGAAAATCCACAAACCAGGCAATCCTCTGTGACCTATCATTTCTAACATAAACTCTCCACCCTCTAAACTCAGCAAAGTTCTCCCGTCCATCCAGTCTCTCAGGCAAAACAACCCATGTGATATAAACATTAAAAATTTTTTATTAAACAAACAAATTATTTAATGTTTCTGAAACTAACATATATCATTGAATTAGTATCTTTGTTTTAGTTCTGAAGATTTTATATTTAGATGATTGAATATTTAAGAAACTATTTTTTTAAATTTAAGATCCTTTGAGTTTTTAATGTTGCTACATTATGAATAAGAATGTAGGTCTCTGCACTTACCTTTGTTAGCAACTCTGGTACAATTTTGCCATTCCAATGCCATGGGCAATAAAATAAACTTCTAGTCTTCCAATAAATATATCACAATCATTCTAATACAAACAAACTTTAATTACACACATTGCCATTCTTAAGCTTGTTCCTTCATCTATTGGTTCAACTAGGGTGATATGTTGAGTTTTTATTGTTTTCCTTAGTCTTACTTTGTAACTCTCGAACCAAAATTTGCATTAAAATTATTGAAAGAATTATTTTGAATTCCTAAACTAAATTCACTCAGTTAAACTTAAGTCTTGTTTTTTAATTTTGTTTACCCAAAACATAGCTGTTTTCATTATTTTCATACTCATCTCCAATTTCAGTACGAAGGATGACTTAAAAAACACAAAGTATTATAGTCAATGATTTTTTTTTTTTCATGTATTAAAATAAATTACACTGCTAATACCAGCTTCCACTGTCAGCCTCAATCTATACAAGGTGTCCCGTAAGTAGAGAGAAATATTATATATAAAATATATATAATATATATATATATATATATATATATATATATATATATATATATGTATATATGTATATATATATATATATATATATATATATATATATATATATATATATATATATATATATATATATATATATGTATATATGTAACAAATATGTAATAAAAAACATGACACGTTAAAAAACACAAATCATAAATTTTCTACTTTTCTGGGAAAATCAGACCATTGTTTGTGTATTTTATTTAGTTTACTGTGAAGCAATTTTTCATTACTCTAATTAATTTTTTTTTTAGTCATTGCTTGCTATTCAATAAAAAACATGACACGTTAAAAAACACAAATCATAAATTTTCTACTTTTCTGGGAAAATCAGACCATTTTTTGTGTAAATTTATTTAAGAATTGTATTTAATATAATTATATATATATATAATGAGTAATGTATATATATATATATATATATATATATATATATATATATATATATATATATATAAGAGTAATGAAAAATTGCTTCACAGTAAACTAAATAAAATTTTTTTGCAAATGCAGGTACAATTTAAAGGAGACTTTTAAGTGTCAAAACTCAGGTAAGATTTGTTTAAAAAAAAAATCATGAATTATTCGCAATTTTTATGTATCACTCTTCAACTATACTAGAGATACTTCACTTTTAGAAAAACTTTTTTGTTTAATAACCTTTAAAGCTTATTAGACTTAGGTCCATATAAGTAAGTCGAGGTTCATTAAGAAATAAGTTGAGATTTACCTCATGCTGTGTAAAAAAATGATTTGATTTAATATTCTGTCCCCCTAAAGTATCCGTGTTTTCAGCAAAAATGACTACAATAAATTATTGTAAAGCTTTAATTTATGTTTTCCTCTGACCTAGGGTGTATTGTGTATAATGGAATGTGACATAACTGCATAAATACACATTTTCTACACAAAAAAAAAAAAAAAAAAAAAATGAATGCCAAAAATGATTATTCCATTATTTATCTTCAAAAGTGATATTATTATTATCTAATATCTATTTATCTAAAGTGATACTGAAACTATGGTTTTTATCCATATCTTTATTAAAGAAATCGATCCATATTAGAAGTTATCAACTAAATGTTTCTAACCCTAATATTTACGTTCCCTCCAAGGCATCTGAAAAGAAGATGGCCTCGTGATCTCTTTATATAGACACATTATTAGAGTGCTAAAAGTGGCTAGTTTCTTAACAAGCGTTTTGATCTGATTATATTCCTGTGTACACATTTATTTCATGTATTTATATTGTAATACAGTTGTAAATATCTAGAATAAATAGTTTAAATATATATATATATATTTACGTTAAAAATAAAGAAACCTGATTGTTTGAATTATTTTCATGGAAACATTTTTTTTTTTCTCCTACGCCTAAGTAACGCCTGCTTCGTTAGCCATGCGTGCTCTTGCAGTCCAATACAATTTTGTATTGCTGTCCACCATAAAAGCTATCCATTTCATTAAAGCAACATCTTATGTCCTGTAATGGAGGGCATGTATCCAGATGTTCTCCTGTCATTATGTCTAAGGAACATAGAGGGCATGTCGGGCTATCTTTTACACCGATGAGGTGCTTCTGAAGGAAATCATGGCCTGTCAGCATTCTAAAGCATGCCACGGCTTGCCCTCTAGGGAGGTCTCTAGGAATCCTGCCACTTTCTTCCAGCAATCCACTCCATCGTTTCCCTTCAATTGTTTGTACATATTTCTCTTTCAGTGAACTTTGGAGGGTCTGCTTTATGATTCTTTTTGTTGAATCCATGGTCAGAGGAATATCGGGTTGGATCATTCCAGAACCTATTCTGGCCAGTTTATCAGCTTCATCATTTCCGTGGAGCCCGCAATGGCCTGGTATCCACTGGAAAGCGACTTCTGTCCCATTTTCCTTTAATCGGTTCAAATATTGATGGCATTTAGGAACATTTGGATTTGTACTATATCCACTTTTTAGGGACAAAATGGCTGCCTGTGAGTCAACAAAGAAAGCAACTTTCTTGTCTTTCCGTTCAATTAACATCTCAAGGCCTAAGAGAATGGCTTTCACTTCCCCTTCAAAGTTTGTGGCTACCTTTCTGACCGGGGCAGCAAGTTAAAACTCCTTTGAATAAACTCCAGCTCCGGCATGTTTGCGTGCTTCCAGTGCAGAACCATCTGTATATACATGGAGCCATTCTGTCTCTGGAAATCGTTTTCCGATGGTTTCTAGGGTTATAACCTTTTGTTCGTAAATTGGTGTTGTATCCTTAGAAACATTCTGAAGATCACAGTGAACAACAAATTAGCTGGTGAATGGAACTTGTGTCAATGACGGGAGTGGCTCCCTTTCAGCTAATTCTAGTCCTTTTCTTTGTATCAAATTTTCCACTGCCTTAGTAAAAGTAATTTGAGTTTTAAGGCGTTCAGGCGCGGGTTCATAGGTACTCCAGTAGTTGATCTTAAGACGTTTTAGCCTTTCATAGAGCATAATGGCCAGTTGCTCCCGGTGTGTCTCAAGAGGTACTATGGCTGTTTGTAATTCTAGCGCAGATATTGGGGTTGATTTGCTCCCTCCTGTCACGAGTCTAAGGGCTTGATTCTGGATTATGTCTAGCTTGTGTAATATCGCGTCCGAAGCAGTGATAACAAGTTCTGCTCCATATTCAATAACAGGGCGGACATATGTTTTGTAGGTAAGAGCCATAACATCCCCCGTTGCTCCCCATTTCGAGCCACCTAACCTCTGTATTAACGAAAGTCGTTTTGAAGCCTGTTCTATTTGTTTTTCAATGTGTTTATTCCAAGAGAGTCTTTTATCCAATTTCACTCCAAGATATGTAGCTTCTTCTGTGCGTTTGAGCTCTTCGTTATTATGGTTCAAATTGATCTCGTGTGATTTGGTAGAGAGGGTAAAAAGTTGGAATTCCGTCTTTTCGGAATAAACGATCATCTCGTTTTCATTGGCCCACTTCTCTAGTAATTTAAGTACCTGTTGCATGTGCTTTTCTAGCCCTTTAAAGTCACTACTTGTTGCCCAAATGACGAGGTCATCTGCGTACAGCAGAGCCTTTGTACCCGGAATAGTTTCAGTGAGTTCTGTGATATCATCAATCATGATGTTAAACAGGAAGGGACTCAGCACCGAGCCTTGTGGGAGGCCTTGTTTTGTTTGGCGATATGTCGAGACAACGTTTTTATATCGCACCCTTATAAACCTTTGATGTAAGAAAGAAGATATAGTCTTGAGCAGATATCCTGTTTTAGTACTGTTTCTTTGGCCATATCCCCCAGGTGTATAAGAAATTCCGACAGTATGTCATCTGGGCCTGCGGTTTTACCTTTCTTAGATTTAGTAAGAGCATCATTTAGTTCTTGCGTTTGGATATCTCCTCAGAATAGTGTATAATCTTCTTCACTCATTACACAACAATGTGTGAAGTTTGTGACTGGATTTCCGTTTTCTTTTTTTGGCTTGTAATTGCTTACTTTTGAATAGTGTTTGCAGAAGGAGTTAGCTATTTCTTTTAGCTTGCTTATTGTTTTCCCATCGAAAGTTATTGGATGGTTTGCTAAGTTTGATTTATTATTTATTTTTGAAAGAAATTCATGTGCCTTAACTCCATCTTTTCTAAAGTCCATTTTCTGTAGGAATGTTCTAAATGAGTTTTGTTTAGCTGAAATAACTTTTCTTTTAAATACAGCTGTTTTCCTTTTAAGTAAACTTATAATTGCATGATTTTTGGAGCTCTCAGCTCTTTTTCTAAAATCATCTCTTTCTTCTTTTAGCTTTTGCAGTTCTTCATTCCAGAAAGGACGATATTTTCGTACCGTTCCTCGGGGAATAGTCTTCAGAGCACACCTATATAAATTTCCTTTTATATTAGTATATGTTTTATCTACGTTACCGTTTATGATTAATTTATCAGTGATGAGTTCATCTGTCAATTTTCTGAAAAGCTTCCAGTCTCCTTTCTTTAAATTCTATCGTGGCAGTTGCGGTTCTTTGGTCTTACTATTATTATTTTGATTCAG